GCAAACAACCAGGTATTCCGGTGAGGTCAGACCAGAGCATGCGTGGCACAAGACAGCGATGCCTAATGCGTTTGTCTTGTGCTGCACTTCGCCTTCACTAATCTGAGCTGCTCGGTAAACAGTGGTGCCAGTTTCCACCTGGAAATTCTAAATAATTTAAATCAGCAACTGCAAATGGTTACGTCGTCATCAGGTTTATTAAATAATGCTACCGCATCTATTAGGTCTTGAAATAATCATCGGCAAAGGAAATGTTATCAATCATTACTGCGGTTCGGCACTGTCAACTTGAATACGTAACACTATAAAAATCTGAACAGCAATAAAAGGAACAAAGGAACTAATTTACGTCAAAAAACATTTAGCAATACAGATATGGTAACCTACTTGAACGGTGGGAATATAGACGTAGAGAAGGGACACAGCGGTCATTCGATAAACAACTGAGTACGTTCAGATACCAGCACTACTGTTTGAAGCTGTTGTGAACGTTTGAGTATGTACTGACTCACGAAAATGAAAACAGGATTTGCTTAATGGTAACATTAACCTATACATAATCAAATGATCACCACTACTGGTTTTCATGACCGCTAGGAATTCATGATAAGCTACCTCTGCTTAGCTTACGAAGACAGCATGAAAGAAACAGTTCGCCTATTCACTGAATCTGAATCAACCATTTCAAGATGCGTCTGTCAAAACGGCCTGGAGCTCAAGCAAATGCGTGATCAACGGTAATAAATCTAGTCAGCAACGAGAGGATAACAAGTCAGCAGGGTGCCAGTCACGCTTCAATTATACCTGTCTACTTTACCATGTCAAAACATCAAATCCTTTCGCGTTTTCTGCACGAATCAGAGAAAAAGCAAATTATTAACACAGCAGCCAAGATGAGAAGACCTCAACTCCAAACAATGACTAAATAGGACATTCGGTGACGAGTATGACCCGGAAATCGTTACCACCGTCACCGATCGCTTACCAGATGCCTACGATGACGTAAAACCATGTATGACGAATGTACACTGACGCCCGATCACGGGAGGTACCATCAATGTATCAAAAACTTCGCATCACTAACTTGGAAACTTTCAATATAAGGTTGGAAATACGATGGTTAAAACGCCGTTAAAAACATTCAATTTCACCACCGAACAACTCCAACAAACGACAGCGCGACAGGCGTCGAAACAGGGATGCGCAATATTCATACAGCAACAGTATATTATAAATTCACAGGAAGTGTAGTAAGTGTGTACTTCAATAAATGAGAAAATACCGTATTTTCTCACCGATAAGACGTGCTTTATCTACACAAAAAAACTAAAGTCAACGTAAGAAGACAACATTGTTTGTTATGCAATGAAAAACGAAAAAAACCCAAATCTTTTAAAGTTACGCATGTACGCGGTAATATCAAATGGCGTATATTGTGAAAATAGATTAGACATAATTTGAAATATTACAAAATAAGATAGAAATAAAACATTAAATTTAAAAAACATTTATTGCACAAACGGATAACAGCAATAGAGCCTTTTCTGAGATGCTATAATGGCATCACGCTGTCTGCCTCCTCCGTTCAGAACGGACAGTGACTTTCATCGGCATCTTCAGAGACTGATCTACGGTGCTCGATTGAAAGATGCTAATAAAACAAGGTCGTCTGCAAAGAGCAGCCTTCGCGACTTCACGTCTCTTACACGGATACCCTCATCGCCATAGCAGCTCCTGATTATTCTATTAATTAACAGTACAAAGAG